CCCATCACTAGCTTACGTGAGTGAACGAACCCTGCTGCGCGCATGCGCGCTAAACAGATGGAACGCAATAGAATAATAGCGCAATAGTTTTGAATAAAATATGCATTCTGCTAAAATATTTTTTGTTGGACATTAAATGTGACACATGTAGAATTTTAATACTACATATAAGTGTATATTTATCATAGCAGTAACTGTAAATCAGATGTAAGCTGGCTAATACAGCCCTGTGTGTTCCTCTTATCAGTTAAAATGTCTGAATTCTATTATTTATTTTCATTTTTAATTCAGTGGTTTCAACTTTTAATTTAGAATTTTAAATGCTTTAATTCTTTAAAGAGCAATTTTCGATTGTAACGTTTTAATGTTCTACTAATAACCATAAAAGGTACAGCTGTCATAAAATCAGAGAGAAAGGCTGCATGGCTAGAAACTGCAAGTGACAATAAGTCAGAATAACTGAAATAAGCCTGGCTTATTTGGTAAACTAGTTTCATGAAACAGCCCCCTGGTCACCTTAATGTCAGTGTCAATATTGTGCAAATGTTTCCCAGAAAACAGAGGAAATGCATACATGGGATGAAGCTCTGATGAGAGTGATAGGGATGATACTGATGAGTAAAGATGCGCTGTAGTATTTTAGGCTGATTTTGAGCTGTAATGAATCTGTTGTCCATTTTTGGCATTATTGAAAATTAAAGGGGGTGGGGTAGCATTTTGAGTAAATTCAGCCAACAAATTCAGAAGGGGCCCCCATGTCCTGTTATGGTAAAGAAAAAAGCCCCACAGGTATTTTTCTAGATGTTTCTTCTCTGAGGGTCTGTATATTTCAGCTATGCAGGCTGTTTTACACCCAGGCTTCTATGATTATAATGGAAGAATAACTGGATATATAAATGGCTAGATTCGCCTTGATTATACTTGATTAATTCATATTTTGATTAATAAAAATCTTCGACACTTTCTGTGATTACACAGTGCATATACTGAAAATTTTCATGTATAAAACATCACAGTTTTGTTAAATTTACGAATTTTCCATATTTCATGGTCTGCATTCACACTTGAGTATACAAATGCACCAATACTGGTCTCAGATATTTAGGTACATGTATAAATGTCAGTTTGAGAGAATATAAATAAAGTTACAAGCAAAACCAGCAGCATAAGATTTTCGTTTTTTTGTTTCAATTCATTTATATACATTTATGGATTGTGACAAAAAAACGGCAGGATATTTTGCGGAGAACTTTTAACCTAAAGTCCAACAGTGTATTGTGTATGCAAAAATGCATTGAAAAAGTAGTGCCTATAGGTGTGGGAACGAAAATCACTTTCTAGCCACTTTTTCCTAGTTCACCGTATGGCCTAATTTGCTCTTATCGCATAATAAACATAAAAAAACAACAGGTTTAATAATAAACCTATTAACCTATTTAACAATTATTTAACAATGGGTTAAATAATAAGAATAAGCTTAACATTAGTTCCTAGTACTTCTCTGTGGATGGCAAATTTTGCTCTCATGTTAAAATAATAGCTCACCCAAAATGAAATTTGCTGAAAAACTCTTAGGCCATCTAAGATGTAGATGATTTTGTTTCTTTATCAGAACAAATTCAGAGAAATTTAGCCTTACATCACTTGCTCACTAGTGGATCCTCTGCAGTGAACGGGTGCTGTCAAAGAGAGTCCAAACAGCTGATATAAGCATCACAATAACCCACAAGTAATCCACACAACTGCAGTCCATCAAATAACACCCCATGAAGTGAAAAGCTCTGTTTGTAATAAACGAATCTATCATTAACAAGACGTTTTTAACTTCAAACTTTTAGTCCTCTTTTCATAATTTTCATAATTTCCATCTCATCTGGAGAGATACAGTATACACACATATTAAGCACAGTTTACAAGTGAAAACAGTCCAAAACAAACCAAAATGTTGGTGGATTTTGATGTGAGAGAAAAACAGGGAATGGTCTTCACTGGAGGAAAATGTTATTATGGACTTGTATTTTGGCCAGAAGCAACAATTTAAAGTTAAAACTGCTTAATGATGGAATTGTTTCTTACAAACATCTAAATTTGCATTACACAAGACATTAATTGATGGACTGGAGTGGTTTACTGGGTGATTTTTTTTTTTCCATCAGCTCTTTCTGACGGCACCCATTCACTGCAGAGGAGCCATTGGTGAGTAAATGATGTAAGTTGATTGGAAGGGCAAATGCTGGTTTGTTCCTAGATGAACCCATGAGCTGTTGAAACATTATAGCACCATTTGTGAAGGTGATTACCTTCGGTGACTATAAGAGATCACTTAAGCAAAGTATAAGGACCCTGCATGACTCAGAAGTCCGAAAAACTGGAGTTGGAGAAGTAATACAAGACACTGATGATGAACAAGATATGTTTTATAGGAAAAAATAACCCAAGCTTATCATCAGAACAAACAATAAAAGGTCCAAACTGTGAATGGTTTGTCAACAAGTAAACAAATTCTATAAAAGTTAATAAAAAGCAATTGAGCACATTATTACAAAAATAATTTAACACATTTATTTTAAACAAAGGATTTGTTAAACATATAATGCAATGCTATAGACAGCACTGATTGAACTTTAGTTGCCATGTTTATGACCAACTTTGTGATATTTATACAAATATCTTAAAATTGCTTTTCTAATGTAAAGACATCATAAAGGGTTAGTTCACCCAAAAATGAGTACTTTTCTGGACCTTGAACGTGGTAGTTACCTGGCTGTCTATGGGAGGGTCAGAGAGCCCTCAGATTTCATCAAAAATATCTTAAATTGTGTTCCGAAGATGAACGAAGGTCTTACGGGTTTGGAACAACACGAGGGTGAGTAATTAATGACAGAATTTTCATTTTTGGGTGAACTAACCCTTTAATGAAAATGTCATGTAGTTTTACTGCATTACATTAATCCTGTGAAGCCTGACATACTGTATGAAATAATATTCAGAAAAGTCTTACACTAATTACTTTTTTATGGAATCTTAGAATTTTATGGCTCATATAGTATGATATCGGAGAGTATGGACCTCATAGTTGAGGAGAAAAAACACCTACATTTTATTCAAATGCCCAAACTGAGGAAAAATATGCAATTTTGTGCAGTTGCTGATACTGTATTTATATATGGCCAAAAAGTAAGATGAAATGTTGGTATACTATAATGTAAATCATAACATTTACAAATTATAACAACAGCTATTTGTTTATATAAAATGCATGTACATATCAGTTACCGCTCTATATCTCCCAATAAAAATGTCTTAGTAAGAGGGTATTTGAATGTTTTGTAGGTTTTATCATTAAAGCTCTGTCATTTTTATTGTGGGGGCAAAACATATAATGCAATGCAATGCAATACAATGATTGAGAGCTTTACAAATAAAAGCCTTCAAAAGCCTGTTCTATCATAATAATAAATGATGCACGGACAAACAAATAAACCTAAGTTACTTCAGTCCAGAAAGTGTTCATACTGAAATATTACTAACAATATAATAGTTATTCTTATGTTTACCTTACGACTACTGATAAAGGGGGACGTTTATAGAATTATAGTAAAAAGCCTTAAACTTGCTTTAAAAATAACAATTATCAATCAGATGACAGAAGGCACATAGAATATTGTGTACAACATGCTTTTCAGTAAATGTTTTTTTATCATGTTGATAATTTAAAGGCCTTAGAAATTTGCATATCAAATATGATACAGTATAGGCTTTATAGGGTAAGGAAATTTAGATTTATTTATGGCTTGAGTCTTTCTGAAATGTAGTTATATCAAATGTCAAAGAACAGGTTAAAAATAAAAATTAAATAACGCTCATTTTCCAAATGGGATAGTTTTATTAGGTGGGCTCCAGGGTGGAGGGGGCTCATCCTGAAGAATAGCCTGTATCCTCTTTTCTTTTCTCTCTTTTTTGTTGAAACTCTTTTCTTTTCTGTAATAAAATAACCAGGACAATATAAAATCAACATCAATCTTAACAAAGGAAAACAATCAAAAGATTTTGTTCACAGTATGTTCATTGACAACTAATGTATTTTAAAGATTAAAAACTGACATACTGTATGAAATAATATTCAGAAAAGTCTTACACTAATTACTTTTTTATGGAATCTTAGAATTTTATGGCTCATATAGTATGATATCGGAGAGTATGGACCTCATAGTTGAGGAGAAAAAACACCTACATTTTATTCAAATGCCCAAACTGAGGAAAAATATGCAATTTTGTGCAGTTGCTGATACTGTATTTATATATGGCCAAAAAGTAAGATGAAATGTTGGTATACTATAATGTAAATCATAACATTTACAAATTATAACAACAGCTATTTGTTTATATAAAATGCATGTACATATCAGTTACCGCTCTATATCTCCCAATAAAAATGTCTTAGTAAGAGGGTATTTGAATGTTTTGTAGGTTTTATCATTAAAGCTCTGTCATTTTTATTGTGGGGGCAAAACATATAATGCAATGCAATGCAATACAATGATTGAGAGCTTTACAAATAAAAGCCTTCAAAAGCCTGTTCTATCATAATAATAAATGATGCACGGACAAACAAATAAACCTAAGTTACTTCAGTCCAGAAAGTGTTCATACTGAAATATTACTAACAATATAATAGTTATTCTTATGTTTACCTTACGACTACTGATAAAGGGGGACGTTTATAGAATTATAGTAAAAAGCCTTAAACTTGCTTTAAAAATAACAATTATCAATCAGATGACAGAAGGCACATAGAATATTGTGTACAACATGCTTTTCAGTAAATGTTTTTTTATCATGTTGATAATTTAAAGGCCTTAGAAATTTGCATATCAAATATGATACAGTATAGGCTTTATAGGGTAAGGAAATTTAGATTTATTTATGGCTTGAGTCTTTCTGAAATGTAGTTATATCAAATGTCAAAGAACAGGTTAAAAATAAAAATGAAATAACGCTCATTTTCCAAATGGGATAGTTTTATTAGGTGGGCTCCAGGGTGGAGGGGGCTCATCCTGAAGAATAGCCTGTATCCTCTTTTCTTTTCTCTCTCTTTTTTGTTGAAACTCTTTTCTTTTCTGTAATAAAATGACCAGGACAATATAAAATCAACATCAATCTTAACAAAGGAAAACAATCAAAAGATTTTGTTCACAGTATGTTCATTGACAACTAATGTATTTTAAAAACAGATTAAAAACATGTATGTCTCAGTCTCAAAGCATCTGTTATAATAATACTAATCTGTATAATGAAAACAATTAATTGGCAAATGACGTTTGACAGGTGATTTAGTTAGTTTGATCTTTTAGCTTAAGAAGAACAACTTAAGCATAAACAGCAATGTCATGGATACGTATTATTTTCTAAAACTTTTTTTTACACAGCAGATTGATACATTTGATTGAGAAATAGCATGTAAACTTCAAGGCAGGTTGTCTATGCATTAACTTGTGCAGAAATTTGCTGTAACATACCAGCCATTTCTCATACATCTCCAAGGCCAATTTTTCTTTTTTCTCCTTTTCATATTTCTCCTCCACTTCCTTTATCTTCTCCTTCCTGCGTTCTGCCCTTCTCTTCTCTTCAATAACATCCTTCTTTTGGTCACTCCTGTAATATGTAAAGCAATTAACGGAAAGTCAAGTTCTGCACAACAGCAGTTATTAATGTCAGTCTGTAGCCCGAGGCTTTACAAAGCGAGCACATTTACATTTTAAGCAATACATAATGGCTTGAGTGACTTGAGCATGACTAAACATGTGCTAATTAACAAAACAAATGAATAAATTATTATGTATACAATTAAAAATGTATCTTTCATACCATTGAGCGAATGCAGAGATGGAGTCGATCTTCCTCTCTTCTTTTTCTTTGACCTGCTGTAGTTTCTGTCTTCTCTCAGTCGGTTTCTTTTGCCTTACTCTGTCATTAAGGATACTGTCATGCTCCTCTTTCCACTTCTCAAAAACCTGATTTTCAAAATGTTTAGAGTGTGATATATTTATGTGAAAGATGGCATCAAGATTGCATTTAGCAGTATATATTGTATCTACCCTAGTGAAAAAGAAATATACAAAAATGTATTTGAAATACATTTATTTTATGCTAAGTATACTACAAATACATTTACATGTTTATGTACTTAATAAAAATACCCTGCAACTGTACTTTTGGTATATACTAAACTGGTATACTTAAAGTCTGCTAGGTCAGCTAAATATCTACAGCGGATCTAAAATATTCATAATTAATTATAACTAGTTATGATTAATTATTCATATTTCCCATGAGCTGATTCGCTACAATTGGAACAACTAATTTTGTACTTAATGCACTTTAATTGTGTGGAAGTAGTGCTGAAGTTAGGCAAAAAATGAATCTCGATTTTTCCGGAATGTTTGACCGATTCTCGATTTTTTTAATGATTTTTAACTAGTCAACTTGAAAATGTAAATACAACATGATTCAAGTAACTTTTTCTTTATTAACCCTCTAGTTAAAGTAAATTCTATTCCAAGTGCAGCACACATGAAGTTGTCAACATGATGTAAATGTTAAACAAATCACTTGTTAAATATCTTTGCAGAAAAGATGCATAAACTACAACTACATATTGAACAAACTTGACGTATACATATTATGTGTTCAGAAATAATGCGAGGGGAAAATGCTTTTAAAGTCTCAAAAGTCAAGGTAATTAAAATTCAAAATGACTGAAGGTATAACACTAGTAGACTATTATTAACTATACATGTTCTGTAAAAACAACAGCAGCTTTCAGCCTGTCACCATGATGCAAACATGAAATATCAGTCATACAGTAGTAGTTCTTTACAGGTTTTTTTATTTGATTGTGCTGCTTTTCCATTGTTTTTTCTGTGTAAACATGGATGTGCTTGACTGTTGCGCTCGCGCGTCTCTTGCAGTGTCTCATGCATGAAACGCCATTCTAAAAACACTGCACTCAAGTTAAAAGAAGTTCACTCCCATCTTCTTGCATGTTTTACCTACTCCACTGTAGGGCTGTCAAAATGACTGAAAAACTAAATTCGAATTTTCTACTTAAATATTATCAACATTTGAATTATATTCGAATTTAAAAAGCATAATTTCAGTTAGGGTAAAAAAAAGCTTTTTTTTTTTTTAAAGGCTATTTTTTTCTTTAAAAACATGAGATACAGTGGGATGTGGGGAAAACCGCCATAAAGTCTTGAGACATGTTTTTAAAAAGTTAAACTTACATTAATTTTACATGGCTTTCTAAACATTTCTAAACGTCTCTCTTGTGCGAGACGCGAGTGCAACGGTGATAGATGTCCCTCTAGAAAATGTGATAAATATGCGTTCTGTGTGAACGGCTTGGTTTCAGTTTTGACGTAAACAACATCTTCTCCACACTGATGCTCTTGTTTTCTGCAATATATTGAATGAACAACGTAGCAGCGCCGCATCTAGTGGGTTCAACTGGATAGGCTAACAAAAGCATTAAAATGCAATGACACTTACAGTACATCGTCGTTGCATTTCGTGCGCCACTGATAGGCTGCCTGACGGCTAACGCAGACCTAAAATTGGAATGCAACGTTTTTGCATTCGAATGTTGATTTATTTATTTTTTTTAATTCGACGAATATTCGAAATTCTAATTTTTTTTGACAACCCTACTCCACTGTCCGCGTCACATCTTTGTCAACACAAAAGCACATTCTGTGGAATGGTGCTTAGCGCTATATATATGGTCCTTCACAGAGCGCGTCACACGTGAGCGGTTAATCACGTGCGCCGACATGCGGTTGGATAGTTCTTTTCTCTTTACTGTTATCACCGGCATATTGTCAAAGTGTCTAATTCTAACATTTGGTAATATTTCTAATCAAAATCGCGATTCCTCGATTTCTAAAAAATATAAATCGTGGTAAAACAATAAATTCGAA